AAAAAAAGAAAAATGTTTCGTTGGTTGTGCACGTTCATGAGGGACCTTTGGTTAGCTGAGCACGTACGCGAGGAAGGTATTCCCCTGCCTGATCCCACTAATCAAACAGGGGCAGTTAACTCCCTCTTAAAATCCCACTTGTAATTGCTTTCACATGCCAAACAGAGGAATGAGACTTAAAATCAATTTGCCATGTCTAATCCTTTGGCAAACTCCCATCTCTAAACTCGCATTCCCTCTCCTTGTTGTTACCAAACACGCTGTTGGAGTAGATTCAGGATTTAGTTATACCTTCTCGGACAAACTTTTAGATGGCGACTTGTCAACATTGATGGACCAGCGAGCGGCCGCGAAGAGAGGTGAAGAAGACGTTGCTGCGGCACGTTGTGGGCATTTAATCGAACAGGTGGTGTACGGGAGCTGATCTTTATGGCCCTGCTCACCTCGCCTCCCTCCTCCGAATCCTCGTCCTGCCCCTGAAATTGGTTCTCAAACTACCAAAAAATCAGCAGCAAGCAACAGTTTTCTTCATCCGTGGCATGGCATCAATCAACGGAAGTTGTAGGATTTGGTAGAACGAGAGAGCAACGACTGACCTGAGGGGTTGAGGGAGTTGGCGACCCTGACGTAGAATGGCGGAGAAAAGAGCAGGCGGATGTGGTCGGTGGCGTTGCCGACGAGCGGACACCGCGGTCGCTCGCCGGCGGGGACGGAGCTCGCGGTCGGCGGTCGCCGGCGAGGGCAGGTGCTCCTCAAAACAGTTTTTTTTTTGAGGTGTTTCTTGTAGGTAGCTTACCAAGCTGATCGCTTGGTATTAAGTGCCGTGGTTTACTAGTAGTTTTAAAGAATGTTCACCATGTAATATAAAAAAAGTTTTGAGGAATGTCAAATTTTTGTTCTCACGGTTTTAAAAAATGTTTGTACATTTCAGAAAAATGACTACGAGTTTAAAAGATGCTCATGTTGTGTAATTTGTTTGGATAAGTTTTAAAACAAATCACACCATTCAATCTAATATCTGTGACATTTAAAAATCTTCACACGTTTAAAAAATTATGGTTCATGAAATTTAGGAAAACAAGTTTATCCATGCTCAACATGTATAAATAAAATGTCCGCATGTATATAGAAAATGTACATCATATATCCAGAAAATATGAAATGAAAACCTAACGTAAAAAAAATAACCATACAACACCCACAAAGAAAAAGTTATTTAAAAACAAGAGAAAATACTACATGAAACCTTCCAAAAATCGATGAAAGGTCCCGCGAACTGGTGTAGAAACTGCACAATACCGCACCTGTACATGTTAATTAGACCGGCACAACCTACTGCTCACCTACTATGTTAGGTCTTGTAGCAGGCGAGATATAGCTCTGGCGCTGCTACCCATCGCCTTTATCGAGCGCTAGGGCAAGCGTCTCTCACGGGCCACCCTACTAAATAGGTCTGACCCGTCAGCAGGAGCAAGCACCTGCGAGCGTGAAATCACTAACTGAGACGTACTTCTTTCAAAAATCAATTTCATCTCCCCCCAGGTTGCGACATACATTACGCCACTTGTCTCAGCATGAAAGTTTTCCTTTATTCTTTCGTATATCCGTTTATTCAAAACGGTTTTATCTCTTAAACCGTGTGTCCAAATCTCGAACCATTTTCACTATTGGATTCCTCGCATAAAATTAAAATTAAATCCCATGTAGATAAATTTTGACGAACCTTTTTTTCAAGGAAAAACCATACTGGGAGCAATTTTTTTCCCTTTCCGAAATCCGTTTCTGACAGGCACGGCCATGCCACTCCCAAAAGCAAACCCTTGCCTCTCATGGAAGCAAAACCATGCCTCTTGTGGAAGCAAAAAATAAATAAAAATTATTTTTTCCGTTGGTAGTGTTTTCTTTTCTCAAACAAAGTTGTCTAGCACCTACTAAGATGCAAATAAATGTGATTGATCAACATTCAAATTCAAAGAAAAAAAATGAAAATCACTGATCCAAGATTGTGGAAAAGGAGAAGGAAAGCTCAAAGAGATGATTAACTTGCTGAAACTGATTCCTTCCTGGCAGTGCTAGCCGCTTTTTCATCCTGTAACATGTGCTTCTGCATCTTGATTTCGACAGATCAAGGTGCATGCCAAGTCGACGCTGAGATCAATTCAGCCACTGTCAATTACGCTCTGTACGATGGCTTCTTCGGTAACTCTTCGGCGTCGCCTACCTTGAGATGTTCCACTGCCCAGTTGCTAGAAGCCATTCCTACAAAGTGAGAACGCAATGCAAGATCATGCCTGCATTGTTCCTGTCGAAGACACAAAGAACAGAGTGATCGGTGATGAATGAAGACTCTAGTAGTTGTCTTGGATATTAATTGCATCTCATGTGTCGACCAATTGGGCGGCACACGAGACAATTATTACTATTATTTTCCATGTCCTCAGGAAGAGGACCATAGGCCCATGCATGCTGTATTTCTTCAGAGATAAACTGCGGAACACACAGTTAATATAACGAAAGCAAAAAAAAAAGCATTGATGCAGATCCTGGCTAAAATTATACGTATTCACATAAAACTGAACTGTCGGGGTATAAAGATCAATAAGAATCAACTGAAGTGACAATAGATAAGAATCCCAAGTAAACAACTGAACTCCCACATGTATATTTTTCTGTGTCCATCAGGGATCACAGGGCCGTGCTGTATTTCTTCAGAGATAAACTGCAGAACACACACATTCACTATTAATAAAGGGAAAGAAAATAAATTGATGCACATCATGTATCGCATCAAACAGGTGTTTGGGGCCTGTTTTCTTATCCTGGACTGTCGAGGCATAAAGAATCAACTGAAATGACAGTAGATAAGAATCCAAAAAAGCAACTGAGCTGCATTGTGGGAATTTTGTGTTCCATTTAGCATTCCTGAATCTGATTCTTGTGATTTTGTGTTCCACACAGAATTCAGAGCTAGCGGATGGGGAGGGCCTGGAGAAACTTGCTTCCCTTAGAGGCATCAACAACACAAGCATCACAAATAACATGTACTGAAGAATGAAATGCTAAATTGGGCTTTTCTAATGAAAGCATTGAGTTCAAACATTTGCAGTTCAACGTCCTATTTTCGTTCATATAACAGGGTACTCGCCCATTCTTTCGAGAGATCTGCTGCTGTGGCGAAATACCCATCTGCTCACAGGCCACACACACACTGTATTCATTTGGATTCCCAAGTTTCCTGTATTAGAAAGACCAGTTTTCACTTTTCAGAGAGGTTCATTTACGTTGGGTAGTCCACATCTCTTCTACTACTATATGATAATAAATACTACAAGAACCATTTCGTCACCCTTCTGGTACAGCACGCAAAAACCAGAAAAAAATCAGCGGCAAGAGAACCGTAAGAAAATCATTGGCTGTTGTAAATAAATTGGCAGGAAGAAGCACAGGTGTGGCGGCAGCAGCTGGTTCAGGCTGCATTGCAAGGAAACAATAAAGAAAACCCTAAACTCCATGGTAGTTCTGGTGATTTTGGCATTTTGGCATGGAAGGAACAGCAGGGTCTTCGACAAGACTTACACGCCAATTCAAAGAGTCGTTGATCAATTAGAGCAGATGCAAAACACTTTGCTTGTCAAACTAAAATGATAAAGCATATCATAACAACTCAGTTAAGATCCCGGGGGGATACTGCGCCGTTGGGACTTGGAATTAATGCAGCCATGAAGATCCCCAGACACCTAAAGATTTGTGATTAATTAGTTGGTTTTGTGGAGTCTACATATTATATATATGATCTTTAATTAACAGACCAAAGTGTCATTTTCAAAGTTATCTGCGAGCCATTGTGTTGGATGTTTACCGAAAGCACTAGTAGTAGAAGTTTACCGAATCAACCCACTTGAGCTTCGACCTTTTCTTCAGTCAGTGTGCTCATGATGCTGCTTGGTTGTACATGCTTTGAATTCCACAGATTGCAGCCACTACCTCATTTTTTACTCAGACACATGGCTTCCAACAAGACTTGGAATCCACAATTGTATTAACCAAAACTCAACATAGAAACCTTTATCTTTTTATCATCAATGGAATTCCAGCACGAGATTTTCCCTGACAGTTAATCCTTTTTTTTCTATGTACGCAGCTGAAAAGGGAAAAGGGAAAACGTTTGTACTGTAAGACAAGCTGCTTCTATTTCTTGATGGAATTGATACAACTTTAGCATTTGCAAGTTGCATGGTCAGATAAACAAGAAATACTATGAAACCAATCAGAGGAGATACCATCAAATGAGAAGTCTGTGGCAATGTTTAACTCAAGTTCATCCAGTGCATAAGTTGTAGCCGGAGGAGAATTGGTACATATATGATCAGTAGGAGTACGCTGTGGGTACCCTTATATCCCTGCCTTCACCCTTCACTTGCTTAAAAAAATAAGTCATGACTCGTGAGAAAGAAAAGGAGGAAGAGAGGGCGAGACTGAAAAAAAAGGCAGCCCAGCACTACCTACAAAGAGATAGCGACAGACACTGAAAAACAGTCATTCAGAAGCAGCTTCCACTCAACTCCTTTTCGAAAAGAAAAAGGCTTCCACTCAGCTGTTGTATGTTGAATGAGGACCTCATGAGAATGCACGACACACTGTTAAATACTCATCAACGGAGTTGCATTATGTATTGAATCATATCCCCCAACTAAACACATTACCTAAATTCCAGATGCAAAAACTAGGCAGCAAAATGCGACCTTTGTTGTACCTCTGCCTATCGCTGGTGCCGTGCCTTCTTCTCTTGGAAGAAGCACATGCAACGCGCCATGGAGGGATCTCACTGAGGTCTCAACACATGGCCCTCCTCCACTGGAAAGCTACACTTGTGAGTCCACCGCTGCAGATGGGCTCCTGGCAGGAGACCACCAGCCCATGCAACTGGACGGGCATCATGTGCACGGCCATTCGCCATGGCCGCCGCATGCCATGGATGGTGACCAACATCTCCCTGCCCGATGCTGGCATCCGTGGCCAGCTTGGTGAGCTCAACTTCTCAGCTCTTCCATTCCTCACATCCATTGATCTTCAAAACAACAGTCTCCATGGTGCACTGCCCGCTAGTATCTGCTCCCTGTCAGCACTTTTTGATACTTGACCTTACCTACAACCAGCTCACAGGAAAAATTCCCTATGAGATTGGTAACCTGCAAAGTCTCAGCTATCTTGGTCTCTCATTTAATAGTCTCACAGGACATATCCCTGTGTCTCTGGGCAACCTAACAATGTTAAATGTACTTGTCATTCACCAAACCATGGTATCAGGTAGCATTCCTGAGGAGATTGGAAGGCTTGTCAACCTACAAATTCTACAGCTAAGCAACAGCACCTTAAGTGGTTTTCTACCAAAAACCTTTGGAAATCTGACCCAACTAAATGTTTTGCTCCTGTTTGGCAATCAATTTTCAGGGCCTATACCCCAAGAACTAGGCAAGCTAGTACATTTGCAAGGTCTTTATCTTGATGCAAATGGTTTTTCAGGTCCAATTCCAATCTCCATAACCAATCTCACTAAGATGAACGAATTTTTTCTCTATAAAAATCAAATCACAGGTTCCATCCCACATGCAATAGGCAATCTCAATTTGTTAAACAAACTTTCTCTCTATAGAAACCAAATAACAGGTTCAATACCCCCAGAACTAGGCAATCTCACTATGCTCAATGACCTTTTGCTCCACAAAAACCAAATCACATCTCTAATACCTTTAGAATTGGGCAATCTGATGAATCTACAGAATTTAGCCTTGTACGGCAACCAAATTTCTGGTCCTATTCCTGGCAGCTTAGGAAATGTAACCAGTCTAGTAAGGCTACTCCTCTTTCAAAACCACATAACCGGTTCTATTCCCCAAGAGATTGGCAATCTGATAAACCTCGAAGGCTTACATTTGAATCTGAACCAAATTTCAGGATCAATACCAAAAACTTTTGGGAAGTTGCAAAACATCCAAATAATGCAAATCTACGAAAACAAATTATCAGGTTCTCTTCCTCGAGAATTTGGAGATCTTGTAAACCTTGTTAGACTCGATCTATCTGATAACTCACTTTCAGGATCTTTACCAGCAAATATATGTTCAGGTGGCAGGCTTCAATATCTCTTTGTCTCTTCTAATATGTTCAGTGGCCCCATTCCTAGTAGTTTAAAGACGTGTACACGTTTGGTTAGAATTGGCCTTCAGTCGAACCAACTAACAGGAGATATATCTCAGCATTTTGGTGTTTATCCACAACTCATAAAGATGAACTTGGCATTGAACAGACTCTCTGGGCACATCCCACCAAATCTAGGTGCATGTACCCAGCTAACACTGCTACATATCCAACAAAATATGATCACAGGTTCCATACCTCCAATCATCTCTCAATTGCCCAACCTAGTAGATCTAAGACTCGATTCTAATCATCTCAGCGGTGAGATTCCACCAGAAATCTGCACTTTAGCAAACCTATATGCCATGAACTTATCATCAAACCAGTTATCTGGATCCATACCTATACAGATAGAAAAACTGAGTAATCTAAGATACCTTGATATGTCTGGGAACAGACTGAGTGGAATAATACCTGAGGAACTAGGGGCCTGCATGAAACTGGAGTCCTTGAAGATCAACAACAACAACTTCAGTGGGAGCTTGCCTAGCGCAATTGGAAATTTAGCAAGCCTGCAGATCATGTTAGATGTGAGCAACAATAACCTCAGTGGTGTGTTGCCGCAGCAACTTGGGAAGTTGGAGATGCTAGAATTTCTGAATTTATCACATAATCAGTTCAGTGGCAGCATTCCATCCTCCTTTGCAAGCATGATGAGCCTTTCAACACTTGATGTGTCCTACAACGACTTGGAAGGACCAGTCCCAACAACACGGCTGCTTCAAAATGCTTCAGCAAGTTGGTTTCTTCCCAATAAAGGTATGTGTGGTAACCTCTCTGGCCTGCCACCTTGTTATTCAACTCCAGTATCAGGTCACCATAAACGGAAGACACTTGGTTTGCTTTTGCCAATTATTCTTGTTGTGGGTTTTAGCATTGTTGTTGCGATTGCTGTCATAATAATGCTCAGCCGTAATAAGAGAAAACCACAAGAAAGTGTTACTGCTGAAGGAAGGGACCTATTCTCTGTTTGGAATTTTGATGGAAGCTTAGCATTTGATGATATTGTAAGGGCAACCGAAGACTTCGACGAGAAGTACATCATTGGAACAGGAGGATATGGCAAAGTCTATAAGGCACAACTCCAAGACGGGCATCTAGTTGCTGTGAAGAAGCTTCATCAGACTGAAGAAGAGTTGGATGACGAAATAAGATTTCACAGTGAAATGGAAATCTTATCACAAATCCGACAACGAAGCATCGTCAAAATGTATGGATTCTGCTCCCATCCAGTGTATAAATTTCTTGTCTACGAGTACATTCAGAGGGGCAGCCTCCACGGGACATTGGAAAATGAGGAGCTAGCAAAGGAGTTAGATTGGCAGAAGAGAATAACTCTTGCAACTGATGTGGCTCAAGCAATATCTTATTTGCACCATGAATGCAGTCCACCCATAATCCATCGAGATATCACGAGTAACAACATCTTGCTTGATATAACCTTCAAGGCTTTTGTCTCGGATTTCGGCACAGCAAGGATTCTTAAGCCCGATTCATCAAACTGGAGTGCACTAGCAGGAACATATGGCTACATAGCTCCTGGTATGTACAAGTATAACCTATCTTCTTACATCATTAAAATTCATCTCAGTTCATTTGTTCCTCATTCTAATGTTTCGATTTTGTGCAGAACTATCATACACATCAGTTGTGACTGAGAAATGTGATGTCTATAGCTTTGGCATGGTTGTGCTAGAGCTAGTGATGGGGAAGCATCCAAGGGATCTATTAGACGGTAGCTTGTCGAGCGGGGAACAAGTTATGCTGGTGAAAGATATTCTGGACCAACGGCCGACAACACCAACAACAACAGAAGAGAATAGTTTAGCTCTGCTCATTAAGCTGGCCATTTCTTGCTTGGAATCTTCTCCACAAGCAAGGCCAACCATGCGGGAGGCATACCAAACACTCACCCAGCGACCCTCTTCTAGTTCCTGCCCCGTGCCTTTCAGCGCACTTACATTACAGCAAGGGAGTGATGCATGTTGATATATGACCTGAATTCTAGTGAGAAGCCAAGGTCTATCATTGTGGAAGCCGATTAAGGTTTATGTTTTGCCTCGAGTCACTCATATACCATCTATACATGTTGAAATCTGTAATCATCTTATGTCATCTCGTAGGTTTTATTTCTAGAAAAAATAATAACCGGTCCATGCAGCATGAGCCTGTTCACGACATGGCCGGGTCAGCAGTTGCATGCTATTACGATCGCCTCATGGGAAGGCACGAGTACCGGCTGTAGCGGCTTAGAACTTGAGGCATGGTCAAGGGACATGGGATGGCTCGTCCGTGAAGCTTGGTCATGGCACAAGATTAGGATCTTTATATTAGCTATTAGTTGAGCTAATGAGCTGTTTAAATAAAGAGGAGAACAAAGCAGAAAAGCTGCAACAGTTTATGCAGCGCAAATATCCTGAGTGTCCACTGATTCTTCTCCCTCCCTATTCCTCGGGATGAGTTCATGACTCACTGTTACACTGTAGGTGGTCGATGCATAAACAAGAACAAATAAATGTAAACACACGAAGCAGGGTGCATAAAAAAGGACAATTGCCATAGGTAGGACTAAGAAAAAGAACTTACGTGGGGTTGTATGGCAAGAATATGAAATCCTTATCCTTATGATGGAGCATTGTATCCAGTAGTATGTAGTCCTTGTCCTTCAGATGGAACAACAAATAATTTACTACTACACTAAATTTCAAACACTGATTGGTGAGATTGAAATGGAACAAAGATACAACCTTCTTTTTTTCCTCATGCCTAATAAAAACTTAAGGATGAGATGATACGATATGCAAAGTCCCAGGTGACAGATAACAGTGAGAGCAAAGCTACTGCAATCATAGACATGAAGAGTTTGGTATGAACATATCCCATAATCTTTTTACCAGGAAAGTAGGTACCGATTCACCTAAAAATTCAACTCGCCTAGTGTAATCACAGACATACTAAGAACAAGATGTACAACCGCATAGAGAACAGCTCAATTTACCATTCTTCAACGACTGGCAGTGATATATGAGGAAAAATACAATGAATTTGTCCATGAACAAACAAAGCACTGCAGGCAGTCCTAGTTCATCTTCCTGCACAAGAATTATGAAAGCAGGTATGGATTCAGATGAAATTATCTTCAATCCTGACAATCTTTTTATCATACCCATCATATCTTCAATTCTGACAATCTTTTCATCAATCCTGCAATCATTGGCTCATTGCAGTCATCTGTTAAATGAAGGACACTTCAACATAAACCTGGGAGCTAGGTATCAGAATCTACCAACCAAGAACCCTATATGAAACTAAGGCAACATACAGTCTGTTGAGGATCATTCATTCTCTGTGATGCGAAAGAAACTTGGTCAAGATTGTATGTTTTGTTGTACAGCATGTCACACTGCCGTCCATACCAGTAGAAAAGCATGTGGAGCATAGAGATTAGAGCACTAGAACTAGACAAATAGGTTGCTGCCGCAGAAAAGAATGATTAAATGCTACAGGATAACCGACTAGATTAATTTAACTAAGGCCAGGAGCATGGAGCAACAATAGCATTCGCAATTCTGCCTTGTCCATGTCAAGAACTTGCTAGCCTTCCATATCAGCAGTCTCTATAACAAGTAACCTAAGCAGATAAGAACACAACCTTTACCTAACAAGAAATTATGAAACTGTACAAAAATGACCTTCTCAGCAAGGTGTATGAAAGAATGAGAAGAGAAAATAATCCAAAGGTGTATGAAAGCACTTGGGCTAGATTCAGGATTCGGCAATACCTTCTCAGCAAGCCTTTTAGATGGGTGTCGTCTCCTTGCCGGCGAGAGGGGGAGAAGAAGACGTCGATGCGGTGTGTTGTGGCCTTGTAGGCATTTCGTCGAATAGGTAGCGTGCGGTGGCCTCCCTCCTCCAAATTTGTGACTCTTGTCCCTGAAATTAATCGATGCTCAAACCATCAAATTAAATCAGCAGCAGCCACCGAAGTGTCCTCATCCATGGCCATGGCGTCAATCACCAGAAATTGTAGGATCCATTAGATTGGGAGAGCACGAGGCAGCACCTACTAACCTGAGGCACTGGGAACCGAGGTAGTTGCACGGTGGTGGGGCTTCGCGACGGGGAGGAGGACGGTCGATGCGGCTTGGGCTTGGAGTTGGAAGCAAGGGCGAGGACGCCGACGGGGACGCGTCGGTGGCCGGAGTACGGCCTGCCTCGGCCGGAGCCCGGCCCAAAAAGAAATATGGCTCACTCATGGGCCGCAATCCAATCTAGTGTTTTCTTCTGTCGGCTGGCGTTGGCCCAAAAAGAAAGCCCTCAAGTCTGCTGGAGTTTTTTTGTGTTCTTTTTTCTTGGTGTCCGTTCTTTTTTTATTAGTATTGTCAAATGCTCATAGTCTTTTTTCTCATCATCATGTGTTTTAGCAATTCATCCCTTTCTCAAAAAAAATTATCTTATAGCATTTAAAATATGTTTGCCATGTATCTAAAAATTGTCCAGTGTATAGAAAATATTCATGGTCTTTCTAACAAAATATTAACAGGCTGACATGGGCAGGCTGGTCGGGCGGATACAAATTACGTAGACTTGTGGTTCAACGTCGATATTTTTTGCAATTCACTCTGTTGATCCCTTCTTACATTCATGATTCAGGCAATTCCAACAAGTTATGGTGGGTACCTTAGCTTCATGAGTTAGTTTTAGCTCATTGCTATGTGCTTCTTGGTCTAGAAACGAATAGGGTGCTAGACACCTTTTTTATTAGTGTTGGTTTGATTTCCCGCTAAAGAAAAATTAGTTTTTCCCTTAGAAAAAATAGTTTGATGAATCACACACGAGTTTTCATGGTTTGATTTCCCGCTAAAGGAAAATTATTTTTCCCTCAGAAAAATTAGTTTGATGAATCAAACACGAGTTTTCATGGATACATAGCAGGTTCAAACTTAATCATTATGCATGTACATACTCCTTGCTGATGAATATCGCTAGTGTCATCTCTATCATCATTTACTTCTTCGTATGACCTCATTGATTTCATTCTAGCTCTATAACTATCTTTCGAACCTTGGTGTACTTCGTGTACAAAATGGACAATTTCTTTCGAAGTATCAGGGTTTCAGACGATAACTCATCTGTTACAACGGTATTTCATTTTTTTTAAATTTACTACAACTCTAGAGTTGTTGTGTGTTCATTATGCATCACTCAAATCCACGTCATCAACTTTCAACCCTTTCTGCCTTTAATTGCTAATTTTCAGCTTATTTACTGATTATTTTTTTAGCTAAATGACCCTGAAATTGAAAAGCACTACAAATAACTCTGAAAATGTTGGAAGTTAGCGTGGTATCATCATTCTACCCAAATAGCATGTGCAAAAAAGTAGAGAGGGTTACGGTAAAAACTGGATGCACTTCGTGTACAAAATGAACAATCTCTTTCGAAGTATCAGGGTTTCGGACAATAATTCATCTGTTACAAAGGCATTTCATTTTTTAAAACTTAGTACGACTCCAGAGTTTTTGTGTGTTCATTATGCACCATTCAAAGCCACGTCATCGACTTTCAACCCTTTCTGCCTTCATTTGCTAATTTTCAGCTCATTTTCTGATTATTTTTTAGCTAAAATGACCCTGAAATTGAAAAGCACTACAAATGAACTCTGAAAAGGTTGAAAGTTGATATGGTATCATCATTCCACCTACATAGCATGTGAAAAAAAGTACAGAGGGTTACGGCAAAAACTGGATGCACTTCGTGTACAAAATGGACAATCTCTTTCGAAGTATCAGGGTTTCGGACGATAACTCATCTATTACAAATGCATTTCATTTTTTTAAACTTAGTACAACTCCAGATTTGTTGTGTGTTCATTATGCACCATTCAAAGCCACGTCATCGACTTTCAACCCTTTATGCCTTCATTTGCTAATTTTCAGCTCATTTACTGATTATTTTTTAGCTAAATGACCCTGAAATTTGAAAGCACTACAAATGAACTCTGAAAAAATTGAAATTTGGAATGGTATCATCATTCCACTAACATAGCATGTGCAAAAAAGTACAAAGGGTTACGGCAAAAACTGGATGCACTTCATGTAGAAAATGGACAATCTCTTTCGAAGTATTAAGGTTTCGGATGATAACTCATCTGTTACAAAGGCATTTCATTTTTTTAAACTTAGTACAACTCCAGACTTGTTGTGTGTTCATTATCCATCATTCAAAACCACGTCATCGACTTTCAACCCTTTCTGCCTTCATTTGCTAATTTTCAGCTCATTTACTGATTATTATTTTTGCTAAATGATCCTGAAATTGAAAAACACTACAAATAAACTCTGAAAAGGTTGAAAGTTGGCATGGTATCATCATTCCACCCACATAGCATGTGAAAAAGTAGAGAGGGTTACGGCAAAAACTGGGTGCACTTTGTGTAAAAATGGACAATCTCTTTTGAAGTATCAGGGTTTCGGACGATAACTCATCTGTTACAAAGGCATTTCATTTTTTTAAACTTAGTACAACTCCAGACTTGGTATGTGTTCATTATGCACCATTCAAAGCCACGTCATCGACTTTCAGCCCTTTCTGCCTTCATTTGCTAATTTTCAGCTCATTTACTGATTATTTTTTAAGTAAATGACCCTAAAATTGAAAAGCACTATAAATGAACTCTGAAAAGGTTGTCATCATCCTCTTCTTCTTTATTGTCTTCTATCATAACCCCTCTTTATCCGTACTTGGTCCAAATATTATAGTGTGGCATGAAACCCTTCTCAAGAAGGTGGATGTGAAGAGTTTTCGGGTTAGAGTAAGACTTCGTATTCTCACAGATATGACATGGACAACACATAAAACCATTCTGCTTGTTTGCCTTAGCCACTTCGAGAAAATTATGCATGCCATTAATGTACTCGGAGGTGCGTTGTCACCGTACATCCATTGCTGGTTCATCTGTGTGCATTATATATAATTAAGTGCGTCAGAAACCATTACAGAACATCATGAATAGAGAAGTGACCAAATTAACAAAAGTTCATCATCACATTAAAACCAAAGTACAGTAGTGATCAAATGTTATTATTGAAAAAATAAATACATAAAGTTCATACATAGTTCTCATTGAACAACATATAGCTCTCTAGAGCACCTAATTAAACCATACATTGAAACTATGTAAAACATTTCAATGCAACAACAAATGCGATCATAATCGCAACTAAGGTAACAATTGATCCAACGGTGTAATGATAACAAGCCTCGGTATGAATGGCATATTTTCTAATCTTTCTAATCTTCAAGCGCATTACATTGATTTTGATCTTGTGATCATCGACGGCATCCACAACATGCAACTCCAATTTCATCTTCTCCTCCTCAATTCTTTTCAATTTTTTCTTCAAGTAATTGTTTTTATTTTTCAACTAAATTTAACCTCTCGACAATAGGGTCTGTTGGAATTTCTGGTTCACATACCTCCTAGATAAAAGCATCCATGTCACGTTGGTCGGCATAATTGTCATAAACACTAAATGAAACAATTAGTTATAAAAGATAATATATACCACATTTGAATCATTGATAGGATGAGGGCCGACGGAGGCAGATACCAAAACCATCGCACTATATAATAACAAACAATAATAAAAGTAAGAAAATTATACAAGTATCTATCTAAATCATACAAGTAAGAATTTTTTTCTTTTAAAAAAGAAGATAAGAACAAGAGGCTCACCATGGTGGTGCCGGCGACGAGATCGGTGCGGGCGATCAACGACAGTGAGGACGGGGACGGGACAGGACAGACCGCCAAACCTAGACAAATCTTGAGAAAAATGGAACTTGGACAAGGAGCTTTGAGAGGAGAAAGCTTAAGTGTGGCTCGGGCACTTCATCGAACACCTCATGTGCATAGGAGGTGAGCTAGAGCACCACAAACCTCTCTCAGGGTACAACAGGGTGTACAGCGAATCGTAAATATGAGCTTTTTTAGAGAAAGCAAAATGAGTGAATCTACACTAAAATATGTCTATATACATTCGTATGTAGTCCGTAATGAAATCTCTAAAAGGGCTTATATTTAGAAACGGACAAAGTACTAGGAAAGACACAACAAATATGTCCTGTCTATGCAGAAACCAAGGCCGGCATCGGCCATTTACGTAAAGATCAGACCAACATCCTTGTTTCAAAAAAACAAAAGATCCGACCAACACTGGGATATCCTCCCTCCGTTCTTAAATATGTCTTTTTAGAGATTTTAATATGAACTACATACGGATGTACTCTATATAGACGTATTTTAGAGTGTAGATTCACTCATTTTGCTTCGTATATATGTAGTCCATATTGGAATATCTGAAGAGACTTATATTTAGGAACGGAGGGAGTAGATTTGAATCCATGCGTGTGCTACTGTACTCTGGGTAGTCCCAGTTCATCCTCCTGTTGTTAAGAGTCAAGACAAAAGCAATTAGCTGAGCAGATCATATTCCACTCGTTGAGAGCCAAGCTTAGATCATGTGACGTATCTATCCTATCAATCAATTAGATAATGTGACGAGATAACGAAACCACACTACTAATACTATAGAAAATGTTATATCAAACGCCCCAAAAAAGCCGTCTCGGATAGTTTAGTCCAGCTGAAACTTACTGTGTGTACAAGTGTTTACTGCTGTTTGTGCCATCTTGTATTATAGTAGTACATCTCTATGTACTGCTATGAGCCACCAAATTGTGTATGCAAGCGACAATAAGAATTTGCACACTTTTGATTACTACTCATAAATTACAAAGGGCATACCAGGGAATATTGGCGTGTACAGAAATAGTAGTACAAGTTTACCAGGTCAAGCACTTGAACTTGGAACTTTTCTTCAGTCAATGTGGTACGTCATGAGGCTGCTTGGTTGTTTAGTCTTTATAAATTCCAGAAGTAGCAGCCAGACTGCTAACAAGACTTGGGGTCTAGGATCTGTATTGACAAAAATTCAACACTGACGCCTTTATTTATATTCTAATATCAATAGAATTCCAACAAGATGCAAACACTAGACAGCAAGATGCCATCTACCTACTGCTGGTGCCATGCCGCCTTCTCAACCGATGTACTTGCTGCAGTTTTTCGAGATTTTTAGTCAAACTCAATGTGCTTAGTTTGCAGTGTAGTAGTAGGAAGACATACACAAGCATCTCTCGTCTCAACCAAACCACCAGGCTTGGGAATTCAGTGGTTGCTTTCTCCCGGTAGTTGTGTACACTGATAAGAGAAACGGATACCAATTCTGCAATTCAATCTAAAAAAATATCATCAAAAATATTCCAAAAAAGGGAATGATGGAAAGAGACAAATGGTAGGGCAATACGAGGAAAGAGAAAAAGAATCTGTCCATGCACAAACAAAGGTGTCGACGTCGAGATTCAGTTATGAATTGAAGCGCGCGGCACTGTACTGTAGGCATGTTGTACCGCATCCTCCTCCTCCACAAGCTGGAAAAAAAACAAGCACTAGATCAGGCAAAAGCAAGCTGAGCATTCACGACGACTGAAACGGAAGTTGGTTAGGTGCTGTCTGAGATGCCGGAGTAGAGGTTTCAAAGCTCAAGCACAAGATGCCAGAGATGCTCAACAAAGGTAATTGCTTCCAAAGTTCATGACCAGATCCATTATACGACACATGTTTGGCATGAAAAGTGTCTGCATGCCCCCTTTCTATGTGGTTTCTTTTACTAGTAAGATCAAGCTCGGGTAAGCTCAGTTGTGATTTGTGAACACCAATAATATAAGTGACACTGAGCCTGAAATGCACAATTTATGAGCTAAGAAATACATTCATAATGATCTCAAGTATCTAGCTAGCATATCAATTAGATCATGTGACAAGATAAAGAAACCACATTCCTACTACTACAGAAAATGCTATATCAGACACCACATCACACTCGGAGCGGCCCTAAAAGCCAGCGCCTCAGATAGTTTAGTTCAGCTGAAACTTACTGCGTGTACAAGTGATTACAGCCGTTTCTGCCATCTGTATTATAGTACATCTCTATGTACGTACTGCTATTTTAGCTACCAAAGTATTCAAGCAATAGTAAGAATTTTGCGTATTTTTTATTACTTCTCATAAATTACGAAGGGCATACCTAGGAATATTGGCGCGTTGGATGTTACATGGCAATCAACACGTACAGAAATAGTAGTACAAGTTTACAAGTCAAGCACTTGAACTTGGAACTTTTCTTCAGTCAGTGTCGTCATGTGGCTGCTTGGTTGTTTACTCTTTATAAATTCCAGAAGTAGCAGCCACTGCCTCATTTTATAAAAGACTTCTAACAAGACTAGGGGTCTGTAATGTATTGACCAAAATTAAACACTGACACCTTTATTTTTTAACATCGATAGAATTCCAACAAGACTTTGGGTCCAGGATCTGTAATGTATTGACCAAAATTAAACACTGACACCTTTATTTTTTAACATCGATAGAATTCCAACAAGACTTTGGGTCCAGGATCTGTATTGACCAAAGAGTTGCCGTGCACATGGAATCACGCCCCTAAACTAAACGCAAGATGCAAACACTAGGCAGCAAGATGCCATCTTTGTCCAGCCTCTATCTACTGCTGGTGTCATTCCGCCTTCTCAACCGTTGTGTGTTGATCGACTTAGAACCTCATAACAATGGACAACATGCTGGTTAAATATCAGTAGAGTTGCAGTGTATACTGAAACACATCCCAACAGGGGCCAAACACAACATGCAAACACTAGGCAGTAAAATGGGGCCTTTGTTCTGCCTTTGCCTGCAGCTCGTGCCATGCCTTCTTCTCTTTCAAGAAACACATGCGGCGCACCATGGAGGGATCTCACTGAGGTCTCAACACATAGCTCTCCTCCACTGGAAAGCTACACTTGCAAGTATACCGCTGCATATGAGCTCTTGGCAAGAAAACACCAGGCCTTGCAACTGGACGGGCATCATGTGCACGGCTGTCCGCCATGGCCGCCGCATGCCCTGGGTGGTCACAAACATCTCCCTGCCTGATGCTGGCATCCATGGTCAGCTTGGTGAGCTCAATTTCTCAGCTCTTCCATTCCTCACATATATTGACCTTCGAAACAACACTCTCCGTGGTGCACTACCCCCTAGTATCAACTCCCTGTCAGCCCTTTCGGTACTTGACCTTTCCTACAACCAGCTCACAGGGAAAATTCCTAGTGAGATTGCTGACCTGCAAAGTCTCATGCTGCTTGATCTTTCATTCAACAGACTCGCGGGACATATCCCTGCGTCCTTAGGTAACCTCACAATGTTAACTGATCTTCTCATTCACCAAACCATGGTTTCAGGTCCTATTCCTGAGGAGAGTGGAAGGCTTGTCAACCTAAAAAATCTACAGCTAAGCAACAACACCTTAAGCGGCATGATACCAAAAACGCTTGGAAATCTGACCCAACTAAATACTTTGTTCCTGTTTGGTAATCAACTTTCAGGGCCTATACCCCAAGAACTAGGCAGGCTAGTCCATTTGCAAATTCTCCAGCTTGACTCAAATGATTTTTCAGGTCCAATTCCAATCTCTGTAACCAATCTCACTAAGATGAACACACTTTCTCTCTCTAAAAATCAATTAACAGGTTCAATACCCCCAGAACTAGGGAACCTCACTCTGCTCAATGAACTTTTTCTCTACACAAATCAAATCACGGGTCTAATACCCCCAGAACTAGGTAACCTCGCTATGCTCAATGATCTTTCTCTATATACAAACCAAATCACAGGTCCAATACCTTTAGAATTGGGGAACTTGCTGAATCTCCAGATTTTAGATTTGGACGACAACCAAATATTTGGCTCTATTCCTGGCAGCTTAGGAAATATAACCAAGCTAGCAAAATTATTCCTATCTATAAATCAAATCACAGGCCCAATACCTTTAGAATTGGGCAACTTGCTGAATCTGCAGACGTTAGAGTTGGCCAACAACCAAGTATTTGGCTCTATTCCTGGTAGCTTAGGAAATATAACCAAGCTAGTAGAATTATCCCTCTCTGTAAATAAGATAACTGGTTCCATTCCCCAAGAGATTGGCAATCTCATAAACCTCGAATATTTAGGCTTGCATCAGAACCAAATTTCGGGATCAATGCCAAAAACTTTGGGGAAGCTGCAAAGCATCCAAGAACTACAAATCTTTGATAACAAATTATCAGGTACTCTTCCTGATGAATTTGGAGATCTGATGAGCCTTGTTCACCTTGGGCTGTCTGAAAACTCACTTTTAGGACCTTTACCCGCAAATATATGTTCAGGTGGAAGACTTCAATATCTTGGTGTCTCTTCTAATATGTTCAACGGCCCCATTCCAAGTAGTCTAAAGACATGTACGAGTTTGGTTCTAATTGACCTTATGTCAAACCAACTAACATGAGATATATCTCATCAATTTGGTGTATATCCACAACTCGTACAGATGCGCTTGACATTGAATAGACTCTCTGGGCACATCTCACCAAATCTAGGTGCATGTACCCAACTAAGAATACTACATCTAGGACAAAATATGATAAAGGGTTCCATACCTCCTATCCTCTCAAAATTGTCAAACCTAGTAGAACTAAAACTCGATTCCAACCATCTCAGCGGTGTGGTTCCACCACAAATCTGTAGTTTAGCAAATCTATATAAACTGACCCTATCATCGAACCAATTATCTGGATCCATACCTACACTGATAGGAAAGATGAGCAATTTAGGATATCTTGATATATCTGGGAACAGACTGAGTGGACTGATACCTGGGGAACTAGGGTCGTGCATAAAACTGCAATCCTTGAAGATCAACAACAACAACTTCAGTGGAAGTTTGCCCGGTGCCATTGGAAAATTAGCAGGCTTGCAGATCATCTTAGATGTAAGCAACAATAGCCTCGGTGGTGTGTTGCCGCAGCAACTTGGGAAGTTGCAGATGCTAGAATTTTTGAATTTATCACATAATCAATTCAGTGGCAACATTCCATCCTCCTTTGCAAGAATGGTGAGCCTTTCAACACTCGATGTGTCCTACAACAACTTGGAAGGGTTGGTCCCAACAACACGGCTACTCCAAAATGCTTCAGCAAGTTTGTTTCTTCCCAATAAAGGCCTGTGTGGTAACCTCTCCGGCCTGCCACCTTGTTATTCAACCCCAGTAGCTTCTCACAAAAAGGGGAAGATACTTGGTTTGCTTTTGCCAATTGTTCTTGTGATGGGTTTCGTTATTGTTGCTGCAATTGTTGTCATAATAATACTTGCTCGTAAGAAGAGAAATCCACAAGAAAGTGTTACCGCTGAAGCAAGGGACCTATTCTCTGTTTGGAATTTCGATGGAAGATTAGCATTTGATGATATTATAAGGGCAACAGAAGACTTTGATGATAAGTACATCATTGGAACAGGGGGATACGGCAAAGTCTACAAGGCACAACTCCAAGACGGGCAGCTGGTTGCTGTGAAGAAGCTTCATCAGACCGAAGAAGAGGTGGATGATGAAAGAAGATTTCGTAGTGAAATGGAAATCTTAACACAGATCCGACAACGAAGCATTGTCAAAATGTATGGATTCTGCTCCCATCCGGTGTATAAATTTCTAGTCTACGACTACATTCAGCAGGGAAGCCTCCACGGAATATTGGAAAATCAGGAGCTAGCAAAGGAATTAGATTGGAAGAAGAGAATTGCCCTGGCAACTGATGTGGCTCAAGCAATATCTTATTTGCACCACAAATGCAGTCCACCTATAATCCATCGAGATATCACAAGCAACAACATCTTACTTGATACATCCTTCAAGGCTTTTGTCTCGGATTTCGGCACGGCAAGGATTCTTAAGCCCGATTCATCAAACTGGAGTGCACTAGCAGGAACGTTTGGCTACATAGCTCCTGGTACGTACTAGTATAACCATGTTTTTCACATCAGAAGCATCCGTCTCTATCCATTTGTTTCTAATTCTAATGTTTTCGACCCTTTTGTGCAGAACTGCCGTACACATCTGTTGCGACAGAGAAATGTGATGTCTATAGCTTTGGGGTGGTTGTGTTAGAGCTAGTGATGGGTGAGCATCCAAGGGATTTATTAGATGGTACTCTTTCTAACGGCGAACAATCAATGATGGTGAAAGATATTCTGGACCAACGGCCAACAACACCAATATCAACTGAAGAGAATAGCTTAGCACTGCTCATCAAGCTGGCCTTATCTTGTTTGGAATCTTCGCCCCAAGCAAGGCCAACAATGCGGGAGGCATACCAAACACTCATCCAGCGACCATCTTCTAGTTCAACTACCGTGCCTTTCAGCGCACTTCTATTACAGCAAGGGATGCATGTTGAGTAAGGTCTGAATCCTAGTGAGGAACCAGGGTCTACCGAAGCAGAGGCCGATTCAGATTTCTGATTTTTTACTCAAGTCACTCATACACCACCTATATATACCTCTTCTATGCCATGCCGTGCCACAGAGGATGAGTTGACGACTCATTGCAAGTTTATGTATTTGTAGATTCTCCTGATACAGCAAATGATCACCGTTGTGTGCCCGTGATTTTTCCTGCAAGGGTTTCGCACGTAAAAATGTGTGTCCAGTCCCGTGTTCTTGATATTTCTCTGTTTGCTTGCTGATTCTAACAAATGCATAAATATAATTTGGTTTGCAGGTTGCTTACATTTGTTAAAGACCATACTGTAGACATAGTATCCACATGTGACAATTTCTTTCGGCTGCTGTCTGTAGGGTACTTAAAATGTGTCCTAATATTTGTCTCTTTTTATCTACTATTGCTCGCATAACCTAATAAACAACAACAACAAAGCCTTTAGTCCCAAACAAGTTGGGGTAGGCTAGAGGTGAAACCCATAAAATCTCGCAACCAACTCATGGCTCTGGCACATTGATAGCAAGCTTCCGCACACCCCTGTCCATAGCTAGCTCTTTGGTGAGATTGAAAAAAAATGAAATCCAAAAATGGCGCAGTACCATGTTGTCCTGCTTTATTTATTCCATATGGGAATCAAGATCAAATATCTTGGACCAAGCAGGAACAATCACAATGCATAAACGGAACGAAATGAATGTAAGCACATTGGAGATAGGTGCATAAAGAAAGAGCAAGTGCCGCAATATACCAAGTAAAAGCACTTACAGAGGGTTGTAGGGCAGAAGTATGTAGTCCTTTTCCTTATTATTGCTCCCATGAACCTGAGGGTTAAAAAATGGAATTCAAAACTGACACGTTATCATGTCATCCCACTTTATTGTTCTCTGGGTATCAAAGTATATCAAGCAGGAACGATCACAATGATCAAGTGTTCGATGCGTAAATGGAACAAATGAATGTGAACACGCAGATATAGGTGCATAAAACCAAGAAAAGTACAACAGTACTAGGTAAAAAAGAGCTAGCAACGTCCCATAATTTCATTATCAGAGAAGCAGATACCAATTCAACTCAGCAGAGACATACTAACAACAAGATGTACAACCGTATAGAGAACACTCCCTTTATCACAATCTATTGTTCCAGCACAAAGGGAAAGAGACATTCCATCGTTCAACGAATTGCAGTGGTATATGATGCAAGATACAATGAATTTGTCCATGCGTAAACAAAGTGTCGACCATTTACAACGAGATCAAAACCTACACCATAGCTTTTTTGTTACTTTCAGGTACGAATTGATGCGTGCGGCACGGTAGGCAGTCCAAGTTCATCCTCCTGCACCAACAGACAAAAGTAAGCAGAGCAAATTAGTATACTGGTTGACAAGTGTTGACATTACAATCAGGGGGGAATCCATGAATAAATCATGAGCGTGAGCGTGACATGGACATCATTGATAACACACTGATTACGATCTAACAGAGCATGTACTACGCACATAGTAGAAACATCTACGCATATCGCTAGTACTGCTACAACAGAAAGAAACATAAGAGGAATAAGCGATGTATACCCTCCAATCGGCCACGCGGCGGCGGTGATGCAGCAGCCGCGTCATCCTCGGCGGCGACACGGTCAGTGTCGGTCAACATGGTGATGACGAAGGTAGATGAACAGACGCGCGTGGAGAGACGTGGCGAGCGGAGGAGGAGGAGTGCGCGAGGGCCTCATCTCTTCTCAAGCTCCAATAGCATGAGGAAGAGAATCCCTTATAAACCACTCCAACTCTCCTTCCACTTTCGGGGTGGGACTAAACTTCCCACCACCTTATCATGCCACCTACATGGGCCCTTAGAGATTAAATCTAAAATTATCATACGGGCTATAGGCTCATCTCATATTTCAACATTTAAGTCCCGGCGCACTCACACACAGGGCGATGCCCACCCCTCTTACTCACGCGCGTGCACGACCTGCATGCCCAGCCGCCCGCACTCACTACGCGCACACTGCGGCCGCTCCAACAGATCACAAACAGCCATCAACTGCACCGCAACTCACGTATGCATGCACGGCCGTCTAGCTAGCTCACCTGTATGATACATACATGCGCACACACGCACGCCACGTGCGCATACCTACGGCTGTGACCCAGCCCGCGTATCTGACCTGGCGCACCGACGCCGATCGCACTGCCACGGCCTGACCTGACGCACCGATACCAGTCGCACCGTGCTCCGTCACGACTTATTACCAACAGTACAATCTAATATAAACATATGGATCGCCACATCCATATGGCCTTATTCGGTTCTTTGGGATTTGAAGGGGTTTGCAGGGGATTGAGAGAGATTAATTTCTCTACAAATCAAAATCCTCCACACAATCCCCTCCAATTCTCTCCAATCCCCGTGTGGGAGGGATTAACCGAACAAGCCCTACCAGGAAAGCAAGCCCTTAGTGATCAGTGCAGTCAATGTCCCCCATAATAAAAAAATGTAGTCAATGTTGGCTCGGTTGGATAATAAGCTGCCTCTAAACAGTGGAGAGAAGGAATTTTGGTCTTATCCGTGATCAGGTAATAGCTTTCATGTCAAAAAAAGTCTTACAAGGTGTTCCCTCCCTCAAATTGTTATGGTAATAATTTTATTCAGGATAGACTCAACACCAGTGAATTGCTCCAGAGATAAAATAATATGTTCCTAATGACTCTTGGAACCAGGATAGGCACATCCTTTCCACCCCTGGACGATCCGTTCCCAAGGTTCAGGATAGACTCTCTTAGATGTGTATAGTCCCTTTTCGGTATATCCTCATTGTATAAGGGGTTTTTTGCACTTTGACACACATGTATATGTAATGGCCTTTGACCCTCAGGAAATGTAGTTGCTCATTATATAACATGGTATCAGATGTTAGGTTAGCCTCTCTCCCGCACGATGCAACTCCGTGCTTCCTCTGTTCCTGATTTTTCTCGTCTCCAGCCGTCCCCGGCTCCGTTCCGGTTGGCCCTGCTCGTCGCTAGCCGTGCTCGTGCCTGCGCTCCCCCAGGCTGTCGCGGCTAGGCTCTAATTCCACGAGGTCAACGCCACCGGCTCCCTCTCGTTCGGGCCGCTCCCGCTCCGTCCCCGCCCGGGTCCGCTACTCCAGCTGCCGATCTCCTCTCGGCCGGCTCCCCCCGCTCCTTCCTCGAGCGGCCCTTCTCCTCTCGCCCTGGTTCCCTCGAGCGGCCGGCCGGCCCCTCCTCTTCTGCTCCGACCACCGCTCCGGCCGGCTGCAGGTGTTGCCGACCTCGGGCGCTGCTGATTCCCATTGCTGACCTCGGGCGCTACCGATTCCCCTCGGGCGCTGCTGGTTCCCGATCCAAAATCGGGCCTTGCCTGGTCGATTCCCCCTCTCGGTCTCTGGCCTCGTGAGCGGTTCTGGCTGATCCAGATCGGGCCTCTAGCAGCTGTTGACCAAAAAAAAGAGAAAGGATATCTCAGTATGTCATCTTCGGGCTATGTGGCTGTTCCTCGCTGCTCAGTAGTCTTTGATAGCACCAACTATGCTGAGTTTGCGGGTTTCATGCGTATCCACATGCACGGCCTTCTGCTGTGGGGCGTTCTCTCTAGCGAAGTACCCTGTCCGACCTGCCCTGTTGCTCCGGTGGCTCCTGTACCGCCGGTGCTTGCTGATGATGCTTCTCAGGCTGATCGGGATGCAGCCAAGGCTCTTGATAATGCTGCAGTTGATGCTTATGATCAGCATGTATCCGCATACTCTGATGCTCTCTCTGTCTACTGGGATGATCTGTCTGCTTACACTCAGTGGTGCAATGATGATGCTCGGGCTGCTGCTATTCTCACTGCAAGTGTCCTCCCTTAGTTCGCCTCGGAGTTCATGGGACTTGGCACAGTTGCAACGATGTGGTCTTATCTCTGTCAGCGTTATCAGCCCTCTGGTGATGCTCTCTACCTCTCTGTGGTGCGTCAGGAGCATGCACTCCAGCAAGGTGATTCCTCTGTTGATGAGTTCTATTCCCAGTGCTCTTCCATCTGGCGTCAGCTGGACTCTCTTTGGACAGTTGTTTCTGGAACTTGTCGTTGCTATCAGACTACACGATCCGATTTGGAGTTTCAGCGGATTCACGAGTTCTTATCTTGTCTCCGCTCTGAGTTCGAGCCTCGACGTGCTCACCTTCTTGCCCGTGGTCGTGTTCCTATCTCGGAGGTGCTTGCTGAGCTTCGTGCTGAAGAGACCCGTCTTCGCTCAGCTGGCTTCCTTGTGGCTCCATCAGTGTTGGCCGCCCGAGCTCCTATGCCACCTGCTCGCCTCACTGCTCCGCCGCTCCTGCCTACTCCTTCAGGGGGGGGGGTGAGCCGTCCTCCTTAGGCTGAGAAGGGCACGTCGTGCCGTGACACCGTCTGTGGTTACTGCTCCTGGCCAGGTCACACAGAGTCTGATTGTCGCCAGAAGAAGCGAGACCAGAGGCGCTCCTCCTCCAGCGGGCCTCCTGTGTCCTCCTCGACTCCGTCACTCACTAACCAGGACATTGTTCGCCTCAAGCGTCTCCTTGCTTCCTCAGGCTCCTCGTCGACTGGCTCTGCTGCTGCTGTGACTGCATCCTCATCATCATCATCACAGGCATCTACACAGTCAGGTACATCTTCGTGGGTTATGGATTCTGGAGCCTCTTTTCATATGTCTTCTGATTCTTCCACGTTGTCTTCTCTCCGACCTCTTGATTCGCTTGTTAATGTTCTTACTGCCGATGGCACATCTCTTCCTGTTGCTAGTCGTGGTATTCTTTCCACTCCATCTTTTTCTGTTCCGAGTGTTTCACATGTTCCTCGCCTTACCATGAATCTTTTTTCCGCTGCCCAACTTACTGATTCTGGTTGTCGTGTCATTCTTGATACCGATTCTTGCTCCATTCAGGATCGTCGCACCAAGGCTTTGGTTGGTGCTGGCCCCCGGCGCCGTGAGTCAGAGGGCCTTTGGGAGGTTGACTGGCTTTGTGTTCCTTCCGCTACCACCACTTCTGCCAGCTCTCATGCTCTTGTTGCCTCTTCGTTTGCATCCTTCCAGGAGTGGCATCATTGACTTGGTCACATCTGTGGCTCTCGCTTGTCTTCCTTAGTTCGTTAGGGCCTCTTAGGGTCTGTATCTGGAGATGTCTCCTTACATTGTAATGGTTGCAGACTTGGCAAACAGACTCAGTTACCTTATCCTACTAGTGCGTCTGTATCTCAGCATCCTTTTGACTTAGTTCATTCTGATGTCTGGGGTCCTGCTCCCTTTGATTCGATAGGTGGTCACCGCTACTATGTTTTGTTTATTGATGATTTCTCTCGCTACAGTTGGCTCTACTTCATGAAATCTCGTAGCGAGGTTCTCCCTATATACAAATGTTTTGCTGCCATGGTTCACACCCAGTTTGCCACTCCCATTCGTACTTTTCGTGCTGACTCCGCTGGAGAGTATATCTCTCAGCTGTTGCTTGGTTTTCTCGCGGAACAGGGTACTCTTGCCCAGTTCTCCTGTCCTGGTGCTCATGCTCAGAATGGCGTTGCCGAGCGAAAGCATCGTCATTTTCTTGAGACGGCTCGTGTGTTGATGATTGTTGCTTCCCTTCCACCCCATTTTTGGGCCGAGACTGTTTCCACATCCACCTATCTCATCAACATTCAGCCATCGATTGCTCTACAGGGTGACATTCCAATGGAGTGTCTCACTGGTTGCTCTCCTGACTACTCAGCTCTTCGTATGTTTGGATGCGTCTGCTATGTTCTTCTTGCCCCCCGAGAACGCACGAAACTGACTGCTCAGTCGGTTGAGTGTGTTTTCCTTGGCTACAGTGATGAGCACAAGGGCTATCGATGTTGGGATCCGGTGGGTCGTCGCTTGCGCATCTCGCGTGATGTGACTTTTGACGAGTCTCGTTCTTATTACCCACGTTCTTCTTCCTTGAGTTTCTCTGTGGACGACCTTTCTTTCCTTCTCCTTCTCGACACACCCTGCTATGTGCCTCATGTGTCACCTCTTCCTCCAGCACCTCTCATTCCTTCTCATTCACCACCGACCCCATCTTCTCCATCCTCCTCCTCCACCTCCCCCCATCCTCTCCAGTCTGTCGCCCTCTCTCACCGTTTCCTCTCCACTATACTCGATGATCTTGTACTGAGGATGTCTCCTATGAAGAGCCTCCCACCTCTGGTGCACCTCCTCTCACGCCTCCCCCGGTTCATAACCTCCGTGCTCGGCCTCGCCCTCCGCCTGATCGCTACTCCCCTGATTGGTACGGTCTCTCTGTGTTGACTGAGCCCACTTCCTATCGCACTGCCATGACTCAGCCTGAATGGCAGCTTGCGATGGCCGAGGAGCTTGCTGCCCTTGAGCGCTCTGGCACATGAGATCTGGTTCCCCTCCCTTCTGGTGTCCGTCCCATCACCTGCAAGTGGGTCTACAAGCTTAAAACTCGCTCCGATGGTTCTCTTGAGCGCTACAAAGCTCGTCTTGTGGCCCGTGGCTTTCAGCAGGAGCAGGGGCGCGATTATGATGAGACTTTCACTCCTGTGGCCCACATGACCACTGTCCGCACTCTTCTTGTTGTGGCTTCTGTTTGTCAGTGGTCTATCTCTCAACTTGATGTTCAGAACGCTTTCTCAATGGCGAGTTGCGTGAGGAGGTTTATATGCAGCCATCACAGGGGTACTATGCTCCTGATGGTATGGTCTGTACACTTCGCCGCTCCCTATATGGTCTCAAACAGGCCCCTCGTGCCTGGTTTGAGCACTTCGCATCTGTGGTGACCGCCGCTGGTTTCTTGCCCAGTGACCATGATCCCGCGTTGTTTGTTCACACGTCTCCTCGTGGTCGAACTCTTCTCCTTCTCTATGTTGATGACATGATCATCACTGGTGACGACACTGATTACATTGCCTTTGTTAAGGCTCGCCTTCGCGACCAGTTTCTCATGACTGATCTTGGTCCACTTCGCTACTTTCTTGGGATTGAGATCTCCTCGACCTCTGATGGCTTCTACATCTCCCAAGAAAAATATATTCAGGATCTTCTTGCTCGCGCTGCTCTCGGTGATGAGCGCACAGTTGTGACTCCTATGGAGCTCAACGTTCAGCTTCGTGCCACCGATGGTGACCCTCTTGCTAATCCCACTCGCTATCGTCATCTTGTTGGCAGCCTTGTCTATCTTGCTGTTACGCGTCCTGACATCTCCTATCCTGTCCACATCCTGAGTCAGTTTGTTTCAGCCCCCACCTCTGTCCACTATAGTCATCTCCTCCGTGTTCTACGATATCTTCGTGGCACGATCTCTCAGCGTCTTTTCTTTCCCCGCTCCAGCTCTCTTGAGCTCCAGGCCTACTCTGATGCTACCTGGGCTAGTGATCCCTCTGATCGACGCTCGCTGTCTGCTTATTGTGTCTTTCTTGGTGGCTCTCTTATTGCCTGGAAGACAAAGAAACAGACTGCAGTTTCTCGCTCGAGTACAAAGGCTGAGTTGCGAGCCATGGCGATGTTGACGGCTGAGGTGATCTGGTTACGGTGGTTACTTGAGGATTTTGGTGTGTCTACTACTACCTCGACTCCCTTACTGTCAGACAGTACTGGCGCTATCAGTATTGCGCGTGATCCGGTGAAGCATGAGCTCACCAAGCACATTGGTGTGGATGCCCATTTTGTGCGTGCAGCTGTGCAAGATCAGACTCTTGCTCTTCACTATGTGCCCTCTGAGTTACAGTTGGCAGACTTCTTCATCAAGGCACAGACTCGAGCGCAGCATGGCTTTTTCCTCTCCAAACTCAGTGTTGTTGATCCACCATGAGTTTGAGGGGGGGGTGTTAGATGTCTATAGTCCCTTTTCAGTATATCCCCATTGTATAAGGGGTTTTCTGCACTTTGACACACATGTATATGTAATGGCCTTTGGCCCTCAGGAAATGTAGTTGCTCATTATCCGACAGACTCGACAACCAACACAGGGGAATTGCTCCAAAGGAAAAAACACATTCTCACCAGATTATTCCTGTCCATTATGTGGTGGTTCAGCTATTGACAGAGAAAGTCATCTATTTTTTTCCTTGCCCTTTTTGCCTCCACATGCTTAACATACACCAGCCCCGTGGACAGTGCTGGCTAGCCGCCGCTAGACGAATGAAAAAAATTAAAGGCGATCGAAATGGAAATCCTGGTACATTATAGAGCCAAAAGAAAATCCATTCTAGGACTTCAAGAACGTCGCTACGTAGTTGCAGCCGTTTCCTTTCGGTTCGCCCAAAGGCCGGATCTGATGAGATCACTACGCTGATCCTAATTAGGTTCGTTGCTAGTGTGAGTTTAACAATTATCCTACGACCCTGAAGAAAACTAGAGCAGCTAATATGTAGTAATCTATTATTATTATTTTTTGATAAAATGTAATATGTAATATGTAGTACTTTCCTCCACGCCACCGATCGATTCCGGATCCCAAATTAATTAATGTGCAATTTTGGATTGAAAAGCAATCAAAACTATATACAAACTCCAACCAGCAATTCCCAGCGAACTGCCTGCGAGAGGATGACAACGCCACAGGAGCTGACTTTTGTGGGCTTACCACAGCAACATACCTACGCCCATCGAATATATATACCTGCCTGCTCCAATGGATTAGCAAAGTCTGCTGCTGTCATAGATGCTTCTTTTTTCGAACAATTTTAATTTTTTGAACACATAGTACAATGTAACCAAACTTGCGAACCATTACAAGTCTGCTGCTGTCATGGATGTTACGTGATCAATTGTTTTCTTGGGAAATTTAGTTCATCATATATAGTATTGCACAACTTGATTGAGCAAAGTCCACTCTGCTTATTTCCGCCATGGAATTGAAAGACATGCGACCTGAGAAGAGATAGAGTCCCTCTCTTGTATGCGTATATAATCTAGCGTGCTACTGTTAGCTCTTCTTCACAACACGAGTACACTCACAAGTCACAACACACAACTGCTCAAGCTCCGGTGGTGTAGTCTTAGGAAAGCTAGGCACGTCTCAGCAAAATAAGATACTTCATCCACTCGATCGAGGAGATCTGAAACCCTTCATCATTTCAGGTGAGCTCTAAAGACACCCTTTTTTCTTCAGAGCTTGTGTTGCGGCCTGTGCGCATAAGTAGAATGATTTTGTTCATACAACAACCTTTCACTAGGAATGGATTTGTTCCTTTCCTTCACAGCGGATACTGTTTTTTTTTGTGTGTGTTAAGTACTCCTTTGCTATAGAGCAAAAAACAACCTTTCACTAGAAATGGATTTGTTCCTTTCCTTCACAGCGGATACTGTTTTTTTTTTGTTAAGTACGTACTATGGTATAGAGGGAAAAAAACTGGTGTCTCTCACCCTTGCCTTTCTCCGACGAATGATGGACTTGTGTATATAGCTGATGCTGAAGGAACAAAAAATTGGCATACGAAGGAATTTCATAACTTGCCACTTGGAGAGATAAGCATGCCTGCAAAGATCTATGTATTCTAGGAGCATCTTTGATTTGTAGTACTATCAAATTTTGGGAATCGGAAAAACACAGAATTAGAAACAGTAGGAATTTGGATCAATACATGAAAAACAAAGTAATTCTACCAAGAGTTTTGGGTGGATGGAAATTTTCCTTCAAACTAGAGTGCAAATGATCGAATTCTAATCCTGCGAATGCATCTACGGGTGTAGGGTGTTGGTTGAAGCATCCAGGTACCATGTTGGCAACTTCATTACCAGTTCATCTACAGGTCTAGCTTAGGTGTCATGGAAAATTTTAAAAATGACCATGGTCCCCCCTTTTTTATGCTATGTTTGTTTTTTTTTCTGAAACAATGGTGTCAATCTAATTTTGACAGTGTCGTGTTTACTTATTCTCCAGCTGAAGAATATGCAAACCTTGTTGCATCTTGGCCTCGCTCTTGCACTGCTTGCAGCACAATACGCCCATGGAACTGCGGTTCCGGGTTCAGAGTGCCGAAGGCGGTGCGGCGGTGTTGACATACCGTACCCATTCGGTATTGATCCGGGCTGCTCGTTCGGAGAAGACTTTGACATCAACTGCAAGGTCCAAGATGGCATCAGGAAGCCATTTAAGTACACCTTAGAGGTTCTCAGCATCTCCTTGACTAAAAGCACGGCCCGGGTGTTGAATAACATCATGGGGTACTGCTACAACAACTCCACCGCGAACATGGAGGAATTCGGCAATTCCATGGATACCAGCAAAATCAGTCGTTCTCCTTCGTTTCCCTATCGGCTCTCTGACGTAGACAACAAGTTCACGGTCATCGGCTGCAATGCCCTTGCCTCCATGAGCGACGCCGAGGACACAGGCATAGGCACAGGCACAGGCACAGGCTACCAAGCCCTCGGCATCGCAACATGTCACGGTCTGCCAGACTTAGTGGACGGATCCTGCTCCGGTATCGGGTGCTCCCAGACTACGATACCCAAGAAGATTCCCTACTACTATACAAGTTTCCTCAAGTCGGTCAACACAAGTCAGATCTGGGAGTTCAACTGGTGTAGCTATGCTGTGTTGATGGAGACAGCTGAATTCAAATTTAGAGCTTCGTACATAAGAAATACTGAGTTCAATGACACATATCATGGGCGGGTGCCTCTAGTGGTTGATTGGGCTATAAGAGATGTGAGTTCATGTGATGACGCCCAACGAAATAGCACAGGTACTTACGCATGTGTAAGCAGCAACAGCAAGTGTGTGAATTCCAACAATGATCGTGGGTACACATGCAATTGTGTCCATGGGTATGAAGGCAACCCTTATCTTCCACACGGATGCAAAGGTACTGCTCCCACATTCTAAATTACTTGAAGTTCTAGCTTTGTCTTAAGTCATACTTCTTTCAACTTGATCAAGTTTATAGAAAAATATATGAACATCTACAACACCAAAATAGTTTCTTTAGATTCGTCATACAATATATTTTCATACTATATACATTTGACGTTGTATTTGATATTGTATAAATTTAGCATATTTTTCTATAAACCCGGGCACACTTAAAAGATATTTTACTTAAGATGAAACATCGAACTCAAGTAATTTAGAATGGGAGAGTAATTGATTAGCTTTGTATGCAAATCAATCATGTGCACCCTGGATGTACACGCTTAGTCCCTTAATTTTATACACGTACAAAATTCTAATATCAGATTTTGCCGATTCACTACAGATGTCAACGAATGCGACCACAATCCATGTCCTCCGAACGGCATTTGCCACAATATCGTTGGAGGACACCGGTGTTCTTGCCGATGTGGGAAAGAATTTGACGACAAAAGCAATACGTGCAACCTAGACGTTGGCTTTATAATAGGTAAGACCTAAAGAAACAAGATCACCAGCTAAGCCATTCACTTTCGTTTGCATTTGTTTCGGAGCAAAAACTTATGATAGAATCAACTATTGCCCCACAGTCTACTTTGCACCTCCAATTTAAAATAATTTATTTTATCTCTACTATTAAAGGGGAGTTGATAGGTTCTTTTCACCTCCTCTCTCGGGTTTTTTTCCTCCCGAAGCCCACATCCCCCTTCGGTTTTCTGTTAATTTTTTTGTCATCTTAACAGAGGCAACACAAAATAAAAACCAACGTAAATAGAGTAACTTGGAATAATCTAAATCAAACAGGTACTTTCCAGAACCACGTTATGTATTAACTTAATCAAATCAAATCTTATAAAAATCTAACTTTTCGTGCCTTCCCCTATCGAAACCCAAATCAAATTAAATCTTATCGAAACCCTAAATAAATTAAAACTTTCCTTGCCTTCCCCCACACATACTCAAATCAAATTAATTTTAGCAAAATCTAGAATATGATGGTTGTAAGCTATATATGTTGGACAAGATTGATGTTGAACCACTAGAATATGTATGCCCCCATTGCATTTTTTTGGAAAAGGAGGTTAAAACCCCCCGCATCAATCAATGCATACAGTCATATTTATTAATCATTCAATAAAGATCTGACAAGAACAAACATCAAGCCACCCGAAGCCACCACTCACACTTACAACCTCAATAATGTGGAGTGCTCTCACTCCCCATATCTAAAACCAGCGTCGTCGCTGATCCATCCACATAACGTATCGGAACCTACAGCTGATGCAGCGAACTTAAAGCGTACAACACATGCACACATTTTAGAAGTCGTCATCATCATCGAACCACTGACCCATCTTCAGAAAAGAGATCTGCATCATCCTTGCCACTCCGGCCATCCGTCGATGCCACCACGGCGCCCAACAGCACCACCTCCCTACGCAAACTGCTGAGCACATCGCGGTCACCGCCGGTACACCGCAGCACCATGCCACCAAGTACCACCAGCCGACATAGCTTAAAGTCTCTGGAGGATCTGTCGTGCGTAGCACCTGCCGAACATGCATGACACAGCGTAGCACCTGTCGGTCAGCCATGACTTGACATCTCCACCGAAGCTCCGTGCAAGACAAATCCGTTCTACCTCCTGCCTTTTTCTTCCAGTGTTGCTCCACAACGATGCTCCCAAGAGAGAAACGACACCGTAGTGCCGTCATCGTCCGATCTGGAAGACCACATCGTAGGGTTTCCCACAGAACAACATGAGTGGGTCGACAGTAGTTACATGACGATGCCTTCATCAAGGTAACGACACATAACGCCGCCATCGCCCGATGTTGGTTCGGTTTTCACCGGCAACTATGTCTCCCCGACTCACAGTCGGGACAAAATGACGGATCTCGAGATCCGACCACCCTGCCTCAGGACGACCACCACCGACGGAGGAGATGACCACCACCACCAAGCCTAGGGTCGTCGTCCCGGGCGCCCGTGTGATGCAAATGAAGACCAGGAGCACCACCACGATCAGAAGCCAAACCGGAGGTTGAATGGCTGCAACATGGCCGCCGCCGCCACACTCTAGCCGTCATTGTCCACCATCACCGCCGAGGAGATCAAGATCGGAACCGTCGCAGCGATCTTGAGTTGTTGACACGCGAGAAGAAGGCCATCGCCGCCGAGCCACTCGGGCACGAGCTGAAGCCAAACCGGAGGTTCATGGCTGCAACATGGTTGCCGCCGCCACACTCTAGCCGTCATTTTCCACCATCACCGCCGAGGAGATCAAGATCGGAACCGTCGCAGCGATCTTGAGCTGCTGACGCGTGAGAAGAAGGCCGTCGCCGCCGAGCCGCTTGGGCTTTACCCTAGCGGCATCACCGGCGACGACGGAGAGGAGAGTGGTCGCGGTGGACCGGAGGAGGGAGGCAGGGATGCCCCGATGCGGCGCAGCGGAGCCGTGCGAGAGCGGGGCTAGGTTTGTGTGAGATGGTGATGGAGGAAGGACGACCCGGCGCGACGTTAGATCAGGTCGCGAGCCCCTCCCGGTCGCTAGGAGCTAGGAGCCCCCTGGTGCAGAATTGGTGGTTAGTCGACCTGTTGCTCCGTTGTCGCGTACGCATCGGCCGGCGGGTTCTAGAGCTCCTAAAAATGGGAGAGATTTTCACTTCCCAGTCTCTGCACCAACTAAGTATGCATACGACCATTTTAGTATGAGTATCAAGATAAACATGATCCTCAGATTTTTCTTAAATGAGTATCAAGATACTTCTACGTGAGTGGTTCCACCACACACCAAGCTTGATCCTCAATAAATGGAAGAAAATTCCCTCTCATCACTTGTCAATTCTAGGAAATTAAACTCAGGTCATTAGGCTGCACAACCGCATGCCCAACCACTAAGCCAAGGCTCTCTTTGCAATGCATGGGATGCATGGGCAATTAGTTAGCTAGTCTTTAAAGAAATGTTTAGTTCGCACCCTCAGGTCGTAACATGTCTAAACATTTGGCAGACTTAATTACATGAGAAAGAGCAAAATTAAGACTAGCTTTATTGCATAAATTGACATTGGCATGTTGATTCAAGACGTATGCATGCCCTCCAAAGCTCGCACACCCCCAGTGTTGACATCATTTACTTACCTACTCAATCTCCGGTATTTTTTGTCACCATGAACATTGTCATCTGAAAGGATCGATATGGTTGACTAGAGGGGGGGTGAATAGGCAACTAACAATTTTTAGACTTTTCTTTAACAATTTAAACCTTGCAAAGAAATAGGTTGTCTAGATGTGCAACTACGTGGACAACCTATATGATGCAAAGACAATAAGTACACAAGCAAGCAATGGATATAACTCAAGTAAGCTTGCAAAAGTAAAGGGACAAGATAACCAAGAGTGGAGTCGGTGGAGACGAGGATGTGTTACTGAAGTTCCTTCCTTTTAAGGGGAAGTACGTCTCTGTTAGAGCGGTGTGGAGGCAAAATGCTCCCCAAGAAGCCACTAGGGCCACCGTAATCTCCTCACGCCCTCACACAATGCGAGATGCCATGATTCCACTATTGGAGCCCTTGAAGGCGGCAACCAGACCTTTACAAACAAGATTGGGGCTATCTCCACAACACTTGGAGGCTCCCAACAACACCACGAAGCTTCACCACAATGGAGTATGGCTTCGAGGTGACCTCAACCGTCTAGGGTGCTCAACACCCAAGAGTAACAAGATCCACTAGGGATAAGTGGGGGGGATCAAATTTCTCTTAGTGGAAGTGTAGATTTGGGCCTTCTCAACCAATCCCGAGCAAATCAACAAGTTTGATTGGCTAGGGAGAGAGATCGGGCGAAAATGGAGCTTGGAGCAACAATGGAGCTTTGGGGGAAAGAGGTAGGTCAACTTTGAGGAAGAAGACCCCTTTATATAGTGGGGGGAACAATCCAACCGTTATCCCACTGACCAGCCATGCATAGAGCGGTACTACCGCTAGGGAAGGGCGGTACTACCGCTCCGGGTGGTACTACCGCTCAACCCAGCGGTACTGCCGCGCTGCCAGGGCCCTGACCCCAGGGCGGTACTACCGCTAGGGAAGGGCGGTACTACCGCTCCTACTACCGCCCTTAGTGCCGCAAAACCCGACACGAAAGACTTCGTTCGAGAATCGAGGCGGTAGTAGCCCAGACGCACAGCGGTACTACGGCCGAAAACCCCAAGCGGTACTACCGTTTGGAGAGCGGTACTACCGCTTGGAGCGGTACTACCGCTTTGAGAGCGGTACTACCGCTGGGGAGCTTCGGCGGTACTATTGCTGTGGGTCGCGGTACTACTGTTGGGGCAGAGCAAAGCATAGCAAGGGGAAAACGGCAGCTCCAGTGAAGCGGAAAGAAAACGACGGGTGTGATATGGATGTGTACGAGTTGATTCCACCCTAGTCTTACCAAAGCGGATCCCCTCTTGATAGTACGGTGACTCCTACGGGACTAGTCCACCAACAACGAAACGAAGGAGCTACACCGTCTTGAATAAACCACCGAGGGGGAAAAATCGTCTCGTGCCAAAGGATGAATCTCTGAAAGAACTTAACGCACGCGATTAGTCCGCACAAGCATTGTCATCAATCACCAAAACATCTTGGGGATAAATATGCCCTTACAATCTCCCCCTTTCTGGTGGATTGATGACAATACGGGATTTGCACAATATGATAGATATAGGATAAGCGCAAAAACACAACCGTCCTAAAATGTAGAATGGCTCCCCCTGGATGTGTGCTACCTAGATAAGTGCTTTGGACTGCACGGCACAGATGCCAGGATCAATGCTCCCCCTACATTTTAGAGACCAACTACCTAAGCAAGATATATGAGAGCAACATATAGATAACAGGATAAGCATGCAACTCATAAGCTAGATAGACATAGATAATGATACTGGAAAGGTAAGGTAGCATATGTCTCACACCATATGACTCGAGCTTAGGTCTCACTGACAGAACCAGAACTTAGGTCTCACTGACACAAACCAAATAAAGCAACAAGCGAAAACACAAACACAGAAGACGGAAGACACAAAGCACAAATCCCTAAACTCTCTCCCCCTTTGGCATCGAGACACCAAAAAGGAGAGGGAGTGCTGCTACGGCTCCAGGTGAAGGCAAACAAGGGACACCCATCAGTTCTCAGAGGGATCATCTGCACCACCATCATCAGCCGGGAAGTGCTCAGCATCAGAATCAGTCCAAGGGCAGTGCTTCTGAATCCACTCCTCCTCCTCGGTAAGCTGATCCTCAGAACCACTAATCACAATAGCACCCATCTGACGCATGAGCTCCTTGTGGTGACCTCGGTCCTTCTTCTCAGCCACATGAGTCATGTACTGACCATGAGACTCCATGCAAAACAGCTTCTTCACCTTGATCTTGAGCTTCTTGGCCCAAGAGGGCTCTGCCTTAGAAGGCACGTAGTCATCATCTTCATCCTCAGCCTCAGCCCCAA